CCCCGAGGCCGAAGCGAGCGGCCCGGGAAAGCCGGCTGCCAGCTCTGTTCGCCCGGCAGCCCCGCGAGGGGCAGAGACCCAGCGCGAAGCCGAGGGGAAGTGCCAACCTGTCGTCAGTTGGAAAAAATAAAAGACGGAAAGACTCAACGGAAAGTCGAAGCCTTAGTTGGAAAGAGCTGCACCACTGCCGCTATCGTGCTACACAGCTTGGCTGCAGACAGCCCAGGTCCTACTGCAGGGAGCAAGAGCTGGGTGAGGAATCAGTAGTTACGTAGAGTGCAATGGCAGCCCAAGGTCTGCCAACCTCCCTGCATCCATGTAAAAGCATGAAATTACCTCTGACAAGGGGCCAGTAATGGTCAACATTTCAGCCGAGCTTCCAAAAGTGACGTTTTTCAATTAAAATACTCATTTCTGTCATCTTCTTGCAACATCCAGCTGATCCACATCGCAGGCCAAAATGAAGCAGTGGTATCAGTCTGCATCATAATCCCATCCTGGTAAAGGCGCCGTCAGGTGTTGTGGTGCTGAGCAAGGCAGCCACAGTTTCTCAATCCTCCCTGCAGTGGTTATTAAATTGTAATTGTTTTGTGCTGAATCAGGGAGTCTCTGCCCCAGCGAAACTCACTGGGTGGCTCTTGTAGAGTTCATCGATACAATTCCACCTTGGCGTAAATAGATGAGACTAATTGAAATCAACAGGAGTGAGTTTGACCTAATTCCAGGACAAACGTGAGCCCTGTGGGTCAGACTGGAGTTCTTCTGGCTGTGCCTGTTCTTAGAAACTCTCTTCCCACTGCCTTTAATCTGTAAAACCGTCTGGGAGAACGTTGAAGGCACAGACTGGAGCTGCCAACCCTGGCGTTTGAAGAGGACTATCAGAGCAAAAGCACTGCTCGAAGGAGGGAGGAAGTGGCAGGGGAGCATGTGTGGGAGGAACTGTCAGACCCTCACCTCAGCAGAGCCCTGCTGACTTCCAGCATCTGATAACAGGGGTGTGTGCATGAAACAGGACCAGGCGCAGTGCTTGCAGCAAATCCCTGCCACCTTGGGTTACGATACCTCTGACCACGGAGGAGGAAGATGGCAAGGAGGAAGATGGCAAGGTGTTATGTGCCAACAGGAACTGCACACGGATGCAGGGACTCCTCCAGGCTCTGAGTCACGCTGCCCTCCCAGGGAACGGGGCAGTGGCTGGATCCAAACGCAAACGGGTGTAAGAGCAGAGTTACGCAGCCACAGGATTGTACGACCATGAGCAGGCGATCATCAGCTGGTGGTACTGGGGTCCCAGTAGCCTCTGCAGAGTGAATCCTTCTGCATAACTTATTAATGTCTCTGGGGGAATTAAGAACCACACTGAGGAGCTTGCATTGTTGGAAAGGGCTTTTTTATTGCTTAGCCTTCTCCCTATCTCCAAAAGGAATTAAAAAAAATCAAATAAAATGCATCTAAACCAGTCGTTATTACAGTTCTGAAAACCTCCGATACCGAACACAGCTATGCTCAGCACGCTTCTGTCTACTGAGCCAACTTCCTGGCACCTGTCACTGGCACTTCCGCATAGAGGCTAAAGCAAATTTGGTACCTGGATATCCTGGTGGAAAGCTCCCACAGTAGGGCCTGGAAAGCAATGATGTCCTCCGTTTGGAGCTCAACAGCCACAGGACTGGAAGGCTCATGAGGAATTTGTAGCTTCTTTCTTTACTCAGCGATATCTCACTTACAAAGGAAAAGACAAGGATCCACAGCCAGGAAAGAGGACGTCAGGCTGAAACAGAGGGGGCTGCCGTACAGCCCTGGTAAGACTATCAGATACAGTGTGCCGATATTGGTGGCCAAACTTTAATATGGCCTAATGCTGTGTGGCCACAACACATCTCAGCACAGTGGCTACAGCATGAAGCTGGGGTGCCATCTGCAATGCTCTGGGACTTTCTGTGACTTCTGGCTGATGAAATTGTGTTCAAGGCACAGTTTCCTGCTCTCAAGTGCCTGGAAACTTTCCTCTGGGTGGCTGAGTTTTATGGCTGTGCCTTTTTCAGATCAGAATCTGATCTGACAGTTGTTGGTGCAGCTGAATGACAAAGGCTCAGGACACCACCACTGATCTGATCAGCTTATTCTGTCCCTGACTGACCTCAATGACTCTCCAACTATTCCACTGGTGTAGCACAGTGGTTCTTAACATGTGACAAGAGGATCACTAGCAAAGTGTTTTCTAATGGTCCGTAAGTCAGTGAAAGATGACATGGAAAAGGCAGACTAGTGGTCCACCAGATGAGAAAGCTGGAGAATCAGTGGCTTCAAGAAGAAAGCAGTGTCTATTCCAGTTCAGAAATGCCCAGCTAAGCCACACACACTTGTTTGCTGTAAATTTCGCTATTATGCCTGACCCATCTGGGTGGGTGAAGTCTGTAACAGTGAATAAAGTGGTGAACTACCCAAGGTTCCAGTTATTACAGGCTCTATTTTCTGTAATATTTCATTAAGAAAACAAATCCTGAGTAAAGCTCTTCCCTTCATCCCATACCGTTTCTGCAAGTGACAGCAACTTCAGTGATTAACATCAACTGGTAGCTTGAATTCCTTTAGTGAATAAAAGGCAATTTCTCCATGATCCACCAGCGCAAAGACCACCGGGATGTCCCCACTCTGATAGGTAACCTGCTTCAAAGCCCGAAGGGATGGAATCTGCTCATCAAAGCTGCAGAGAGAAAAAAATATCTCATTGTTCTCAAAGCAGGAGGAATACAGACAAAAAGCTGTTCTGGCCAGTCATCACAACAGCTCACTTTGGTCTTAGGAGCTGGCAGTGGTTCTCCCCACCTCTTTTAGTCAAAGCAGGAGGCTGCCAGCCCTGAGAGAGTACACTGCATGCCGGGAACTGGGAGCTGTCAAATCCTCTGCCAAAAACAAGGGCAACTGCACCCTGCTCCACGCTGTGCCTATTAGATGTGGCTCGCAGGGCGATTGGCAAATTGCCAATCCACTGCAATCTTAATACCTCTATGCTAGGAAGATCTTTAGGTTGCTGGGATCAACATCTGACCTGCTTTTTCTGCCCTTCTAATTCTGCAGAGTCTGTTTGCTCGCAAATAAAAATATTTATGCAGCAAGCACCATCCCACTTGCTCATGACAGACCTTTGTAAAACTGCATTACCACCTTCCTTGCTCTGCCTACTACAGCTGCAGAGAGTAGAGGAGGGACAGTTTTAGTGTAGCAAAATTAGAAAAGGCAGAGACTGAACTTTGTACCTGCCTATGGAGTTTAAGTATCAGATTCTGGATCCAGCAAGAAAGGGGACACCTATCTTCTGTTTGTACTGATCTTAAAGTTACATTTGACAAAGATCAAAATACTAACCCTGTGGCTCTGAGCCTGTAGCGAGCTCTGGGGAGGGACATCTCCACAGAAATCCATAGGGATCTGCACTGGCTGAGGATTCAGGTATCATACAGCTCCCTGCAAAACTGAGCTCTACCTGAGTTTCACAAGCATTGCATAAATACAGCTGTGGCTTCTTATTCCTGACTCCAGTAATACTCAGACATGAGCAGCAACCAGATGACCAGATAGTGTGGGCTGAGTGCAAGGGCTGGGGGAACTGTCCGCCACAGCCTCCAACAAAGGAGGAACTGAAAAAGAAAATTGTGGGCAGGACCACCCTCAAGGGAGGCACTCTGATGATGTGTAAAGCTCACAAGATGCATCTGCAAAGCTCACAAGATGCTGGGTCATCTACAGATCATTAGGACTTCATTTCCACAACAGCAACCATGATGTTTCAGAACATGGCATAAGACTCGTGGATACCTCCGAACACACATCCTGACATATGGCTTCCCAGGGTTTGTCTTCTTAAACTTGGCCACAGCATCTGCTTGATACACATTGAAGTCTATCTTCATGCCCTCTGGGTCCTCCTGCAGCCTACAGAAGAGAGAACACATCCACATACCTATGGGATTGAAACATTGTAAGGTACAGATACAGCAGAAGAAAAAGGGAGCAAAAGCTCTTGAAGCCTGGCTAGTATGGGCCCTTTGAAAGGCTTCACTCCTCAAAGGACTGACCCTGCAACTGTTCCAATTACTTTTCAGATCTTTCCTGTAGTCAGACCAGAGCAAGCTCCTGCTCCACATCTGCCACGCTCCCTTCTCTGCGGACCCCCTTGCAAGAAGCGCCACTAACAGATACAGAAGGAAAGCACTACTCTGCCCTATAGGGACTGCACACAAACACCACACAGACTCTTTGAGGCAAGAGCAGAACCAAAAGTCCCAAAGCCAAGGTTTTATAATCATTGCAGCAGGGATGGCAGCACATCCCAGGGATAAGGCACAGGTGAAACCCTACCAGACCTCTGGGAGAGATTACTTGGCAGAGGTGCAGAGAGGGAATGGCAGGAAAAGAGAGCAACCCTGATGTTTTAATTGGCTCAGAATGCCCTAGCTCTGTTGCTGCAGGACCTCGTACTTCAAAGAAATGTCAGCCCCTTGCTACAGATGCAATGGGGTCATGGAGCAGAGCGCTGGATTCTCTCAGCATCCTGGATGCCAGGCAGCTCCCAAACTGCTGCTGCAAGCATCTCACAGACCTCACAAGCAGGGACAGTCACAAGACACCTCCACTCCCTAACAGCTACGAGCTGGCTGGCTGGATACTAACCGGGAGGCTCCATCCAGGATGTGGGAGGGCTGCAGCACACTGATCTGCTGGAGGAGCGCAGCTGGAGGGAGAAGGAACAGGAAAGGATCAGACCAGCTATTTCTCTCCCAGGGCACTCCAAGCACTCCACCACCACCCACAAGCCTTCCTCCTCCGACAATGGCTGGCAGCACCACAGTCACCCCTGGCTACTTCAAAGACCTCAACTTCCTCATCTTCTCCCAGCGCACAGCCCAGAACACCCTGTAATTGCTTTGCATCTTGCTGGCCCTGATTTCACATGCCTAACAGCCTAGCAGGAAGGACTGCAATACAGTAGGACATGGGGAATGGATTAGAAGACTTCCCAAGGCCCTGTTTATCCTGGCACTTGAGTAGGCTATAGAAAGAGATGGAAAGGCAGATGACAAGCTTTCTTCTCTCTCCCCATGTCCATGGCTGGGCTCCTCTGTGCCTGCTTTGCCTAGGCCTTCTAATAAGATTCTCCTTTTCAAGGTACTATCCCCTAAACTGATGTTCAGCTTCTCTACATCGTCCCTTTTGCTGTTGCATACCAGGCAATATTTCACAGAACTGGGGCGGGGGGGAAAAGGGAGTCCCTGTCAAGATCCCAGAACCACTACCTGATGAGGTAGCTTCAGCTGGCCGCAAAAGCGGTGTGACAGCTTGGTCCCAGAGATGTGGCGGTCGTCTCCAAACCCTCTGCTGGCTCCTCTGCTCCAAAAGGGCTTTGTACTCCTGCCAGTTGGAGCAGCACCTCACCTCTCGGTCAGCATTGATGCTGCTCTTGTACCTGCTCTCTCTCTCTCGCTGCTCCCTTTCCTTCCGTGACAGCTTCTCCTGTTTCTGATTGATACGTGTGCACCAGCAAGCTGCATCAACCTCCCTCCCCGGCACATTCTCTGGCAGGAGCCCATTGTCAGGTGAGGGCAGATGTGTGCACGGCTGGTCTGGGGCCACATTTGGCAAGATGATGGTGGTAAAATCCCAGCGGGGTGCATGGGTACCAGTGCTGCTTTCCTTGTGGTCTCCAGCCCGGCTCCTGGAGGGGCTCAGGGAGTCCTTTTGTTCTGCATCAAGAGGAACTGGGTTTGACTCCTCCTTTCCACTGCCAGCATCTGATTCCTTTGGGTGCTCTGACAACGGCTTTTCATCCATGGGAAGGCAGTTGGAGTCTCCACAGTCATCTCCAGCTTTTTCAGAGGTCCCTTCAGCTTCTGGAAGGTCCTCGGATACCTTACGTTTCTTCTCATGCAACCTAAAGACAGAAGCAGCAGCATAAAAACCAGGGAGAGTGTGTGGTAGAACTTTATTCCCTTTGAATCCTGCTTCACCCCTGCTAACAGGAATAATACAGTCTGCCAAGCCTGAAGGAAGGACGGTAAAGGTGGCACAAACCCCCAGACAGGTCTGCAAACCCTTGCCACAATCTCTTGGCTGGAAGTAGGGCATTTGCTTGTGTGACAAAATGAGAAGGGAAAAAGGCAGGCCAAAACCAAGCAGGGAATGCCAAAGGCAGAATAAACTTCTCAGCAGTCCCGCATGAGGTTTGACTTCAACGCCCAGAATTCCAGCCTTGATCTGTACAGACACACATTCCCAACCTGCCATACAGCCTCCACACACCCCATTACTGACCCAAACACCTCCATTCAAATGTGAAGGACTTCAGCCAAACCAGCACAGGTCAGGAACAAACCTTCCTGCCAGCACCTCTTACTGGAATTAGATTCAGTCCCTGGTCCCAGAGAAGATGGAGCAATTCTTAAACCAGCAGTTTTATCTCCCAATTCCTAAAATTTCATAACTCCTGCGGCACTGATTTACTTATTAAGAGGAAAGGACTTGCAAACCAGTCTTGTCCTCCCTGTTTCTTAAAGGAGGATGCCACCTACTGGAAGTTGTCATAATTATTAGCAAAATTACTAATTACATCAGCTTTTGCTTGCATTTTGGAAACGTCTAGAGGCCATGTGCAAGGACCAGGACACAACTATGCTCTCTGCTGTACAGTCATAGCATGCAAGCTGCATTGAGGGGGGGGATAAGTGCAAGATGCACACTGTGGTGTCTGCGTTCCCTCTAGAAAAAGAGCAAGAGGAAATATCTGCTACGTGTTTCTTCTGCACTGACCTCTCTACCCTTCTGATTTGCCATCTCACCACTTCAGATGGGAGGCTCAGGGGCAGTTTGCCACCCTTAGCCCTGCATGAAGTACAGGTGTGACAAAAGGGAACACTACAAAGAGCTCAGGAAAAGTGCTGCACGGCTTGGGGACAGCCAAGAGCAGTTGTGCCAGACAGGTCACCCACAGCACAAGGGCCTCAGGATGCTGTAGCAAAGTAGCTGTGTCTGAGCCAGCGGGCCTTGGGAGAGGACAGAAGGCAGCTTTGGGCCACATCCTTACCGGGGGCTGGAACTCCTCCTCCTTTTGCAATGGTGTTTCCCAGAGCTCTTGCAGTGACTTTCCAAGTTCAGTTGCCTCTCATAGGGAGACAGGACAGTGCTGGAGGGAGACACCAACACAGAGGCTGAGAGCAGGATGAGGTAGTGGCACCACCCTTCTGCTCAGTCCCCAGAATACAGCAAAAAAACCATTTTCTTCTAGGCACAGAAAATCCACAAGCAGGACCAGGATGGTCCTCATTCATGCCCCTTTTCATGTTCCCAATCACCGCCTCAAGAGGGAGGAGCAAGGAAGGGTAGACAGCCACTTTTAGCCTTTAATCCTCCCAAGAGATGGAACGCAGGGTCAAAGTCCTCTTCTCTGCCATTCCACTGGGGCCATGCAGTGGGCACAGAGCTGCTCAGGGTCTTCAGAAAGGAGAAAGCAGCGTGGAAAGGAAAAGTTCGGTTACCTGGGGTCGAATCTCAGTACAACATAACCCAGTTGCTTCAAGTGGCTGAATACCTTAGAGCAAAGGAAAGCAAGAGGGTTAAATGACTACCCTAAAACCAAACAATTTACTTCAGTTCCGCTACAATTGAGTGAACATAGTGTGGCATTGGCAGAGGAGAAAATGCCAGGGTTAGGACCCAAAGCAAAGGTAGGGAAACAGGAACTGATCATCTGGAAGAAAGTGAGTGGGAAAAACTGAGAATAACTCCCCTTCCCTCCCTAACTGTCCTACTCTGCTCTCAGCCACAAAGAAAGGCTGCGTGGCAGAGGCTGCGTGGCAGAGGCTGCGTTCTCTGCCTTCATCCTCCCTGCAGTAGCTGGAGGTCCCAACACACCTGGTAATGTGGCAGGCTCATTGCCTCCTGGGACAGCAGGATCTCGTAGGCTTCCTGGATTGACAAGGGCAGATCCCTGTAAAAGAGCTGAACAGAGCCCTGCAGGGCAAAAACTTGGTGTTGAGAGAATCACAGGGAACAAATCTATACAAGCTCACACCGGTCTCTTCCCACTGGTCCTGACAGCTGGTCTCAGCACCCTTCTTGACATGATATTAATGTCTCCCCAAGTGCTGTCTGGATTACTCACAGTCCCTCTCCCATGCCCACTTCCCCTGTGCCCTGGTTTTAGCAGCCAGGTAAGAAGTTCCGACCCACAGCTGTCAGCTCCTGCTCCATCTGTTTGGAGGATGCAGCTGGGAGCACAATGCTCAACTGTTAAAATAATCATTGCTTTGGGATATAATTTTCTTTAACTTTGATGATCTCAGTGATTCAGGATACAGCAAAACTACAAAAACATTTAAGTACAGCACAACTGAGAGCTGGAGCAGAGAATGATCAACTAGTGGCTCCTCAGAAGCATTTACTACAGCCTCAGCGATCCCATAGGTAGATTCCCCAGGCAACAGCAACTAACCTCCAGGAGGCAGTTTCTTTTTTTCCTCCTTTTCTTTTTTTTAGCATGTGTTTACTCCTAAGCAAAGAAAACAAAACACTATGAACCACACCCCTCCCCTGGGATGGGCTGAAGGCATCTAACTGGTCTTTTCTGCTTTTGGGGAGAGATTTTGCACTCAGCAACTGACTAAACAATTTTAGTTTCATCAATTTATTTACGATCAAAATGCCAGAGATAAAAAAGCCTTAGCTTTGCAGTTAGGATTTAAGGGATGGCATCAGATGCCCATAATCTAATTACGTTTTGCTATGGGAAAAAAGTTCCCTTTTAGATCAGTGCACCTATTCTACTGATAACAGGTTTCAGTGGAGAGACAAAAACCCCCCTCTCTACAGCAAAGAAATCCAGCTGAGCCCTAACCAGCATTTCTGCAAGCAGAGAAGCACTGAAAGCAACCTGGTCTCAGCCCCCATCTGCCACATTTAGATTTTTTTCTGCCATATATACTGGGAAGAGATGCCAAGTAGCAACCCCAAAGATCTCTGCTTAAGTGTAAAGCACATACAGCACTGGCTGCAACATAACTGCCTCTCACGCCAACACCCTTCACATGGAAAGATCTGATTTAGTGCCTAAATGTGGCCCTACCAAGCTGGACAGAGTTTCACTAATTCCTATCAGCTTCTTAGAGAAGCACAGAAAAACTGTGCTAATGAACTTATGAAGTCTGCCATTGCAAAATATGTAAGATACACTGGGGATAAAGGAGGAAGTCAACTTATGACAGAAAAGGCACTGACCAGCCTCAGATGTCCTAATTAACTGTATACCAGTTCTGAGGAAAAGGATTTCTCAGTGTCAAACCTTTTATTCCAATTAACTCCTGCAAGGAAGAGAAGATAATGGTTTGATGTCATTTCCAGAAATTCCCAGAACAGTGATTTTTTCCTGGACTGTGGAAGTTCAAGTTTCCATGCACAGATTTTGGTAAAGAAGTAACTGATATATAAATGTGTGTTTCATCACCCCCAAAGCAAGAAAGTAGAGTTCTCAACAGAAAACTTTGTAACATGCTCCTCATGCTTCTTTCACTCTGGTAAGAGAGCTAACTTATTACTGCTCTGCTAACAGAAATTCGGATCAGCTGAAACAGAAATTCGGATCATATATCAAACATGACAATAAGACTGGGAGAGGAGTGGGTTAAACACGATACCAGCTGAATAAACTGGCCACTGATCCAACTAACACACGCTGTCAATGACACAGAGGCTGCTTTAGAATACAACATATGAACCCATGGCCTGGAGATAAAGAGCTCCATCAGCAACAGACTAAAAGAGACAATCCCTCAAGAACCAGGTGTTTATCAGTGGCTCAAACTGCAGTAGTGCCCAACACAAGTCAAGTGATTTCAGACTTCAGTCTAAAGCTGCTATAGCTCCCCCAGTCATTCAGGAAGGACCCCATGACCCCATCCACGCAGAGGTATCCTACTTACACACTCCAGCAGGTATAGAGCTTCCTCAGGCAGCAGGCACTGTTTGCCACGCTCTGTGAACCCCATGGTGTGCCAGAACTTTCCCTGGAACAGAAGCACAAATCCCTGATGGGCTCTGACTGTTCCCTGCTGACAACCAGGCTCTCTCCCATTTGAAGAAGCAAATTAAGGCACCCTCAAAGGCCAGCAGGAGATGATGGCACTGAGTACACTCTGTAGCAGACTCACCGCAGGGGACTGTAGCTCCACGATGCCCTGTCCTGGCTTCCACTCAGCTTTCACCAGACTGCCCCTGAGAAAGTTAAAGATTAGTTTGTTATTACTAACATGTCCTACAATCTACTCCTATTGTAGCAACACAACAAGCTCAGGAAGGTGTCAAAAGGCAGCAAACTTCCAGGTGGCATTTTCACAGGGTAATGCCTTAGAAAGACACCATCCTCTGGATCTAGCAGTACCAGCTGAAGATTCTATCATCACCAACTAGTTAAAAGTGTCTTCAGTCAGCACCGCTGACGTCTGTCCACAAGCTACAGCAGCCTGCTGGAGATACATGGCCTAAGCCATGATATATCATACAGTTGTTCAGATGCTGCCAAGACACTCTCAAATCGCTGTATCCCACCCACAGGGACTCACAGGAAAAAAATGAATAGCTGAGAAGTAGAGGGTGACTTTACAAGAATGCAAACATGCATGTTTAGCAGCTGGCTTAAGGAAACAAATGGTAAGAACTGCAGGGTTCACCATGGACTTGCTCTACATCTTAGTTACTACCACAATTTCCCCATCTGAAAGGAAACCTAAATCTACCCAGTCACCCTCCCATCCAGCAGTCTCCACTGCTGCCCCAGACACGCGTTTATGGATGTACTTGAACAAACCTGACTGTGACAACAGTGGAAGATAACGGTCCACCCTGTCTGACCTGGAGGTGGCCATCTGCTCTCCAAAGTCCCCAGTGACGTGATTTTATGTGAATAGTTTCTGCTGCTACTGATGAGTGCAGACAGAAAAACTGTTACCAGAAAACAGCAGGCCAAACAGAGAAAGTGTGTCCTGAGAGGTAGCATGTGAAAGTCTCCCAAGAAATTATAAGCTCCAGAGACTCGTAGCACTGTTGAAATCACCAAAACTGATAAAACAGGGACACCGAGAGCTGGCCAAGACTGCACAAGGCCACACATGAGCATCAACAAGGTGCTGCATCGCTCAGACCATGCCCAAGAACACAGTGGCTGCCATTTGCAAAGATTACAGGATTATGCACACACCTGAGAAAACTCCGGGCCCTTTGAGGGACTTGCGGAACACCCACATGGAAGCCACGGGTGTGCCAGCATGACCCTCTGCTCCCGAGGGAACACCCAGGGTGTG